GCGGGGGCCGGGAGCGGCCACTGAACTCCAGTCTGGGCGACCGAGTGAAACTCCAACTCAAAAAAAACAAAAACAAACAAAAAAAAGAAAATACCTCCCATTTGTGGTTGGGTGGGGCGTGGGCTGTTGGGGGCAAGGGTGCGCTGAGGGCTCCTTGAGCAGTAGTTGAGGCCCCTTGGCCACTACCCAGAGAATCCCCTGTCCGCTGCCCTGCTGGTTCTTGCTCATTTGGGGCCAGTCCCCAGGCAAGATAAGCTCTGCAGAACCACAACAAGCTTTTGGTGACCTCTGGAAACGCTCCTATCTGACTTGGCCAGAGATTGCAGCTGTCAAGGCCAGGCAGCTAAAGGTGGGGCACCAGCCGGGACAGGGTGCGTCTATTCCGGGGTTTATGTGTGACAACAGCTTTTTTGAAGGCTGATGTCGTGACCCTGGTTTAGGCCTGGTTTGTCTTTCTCGTAATCAGAGACAGGAAGCCCTTCAGATGGAGCTCAACCAGTCTCTTTGAGTGTAAGTCCGTCTTCACCTTTCCCAGCCACAGCTGGTGGTCACCAGCCCTGTCTCTCGTGGCTGCCTCCAGTCATGGGGGGCTCACTTGCTTGGCGGCTGCAATTTCGGAGGCTACTCAGACTGTTCGAACACCAGAGTGAAGAGAGAACTAGAAAAGCATCCCGTTAACTGATTTCTGAAATAATATGTAGGGAGTGGAACATTCTTTGGAGGGAATAAGCCAAGTAGCAAATATGAATTACACGTTCAAGTTGCGGCTAGTTAAGAGAAAACAGCAAGATTGAGGGAGGGTGACATGCAACTGCCTGGACCCCTTTCCTTGTGACTGTGCATGTCCCTCTCTGTCCCACCGGCCCACGAGCTCCTACAGGCAAGGCTTGTGCCTGATTAATTTTGAATCCTAGGAAACTAGCACAACGCCCAGCACATCAGGGGACTCTGTGCACGTTTGTGGAATAAATAAATCTGCCTCAATTCAACAAATACTTACTTATGAGACTCTGTATCCAGGCACTGTTCGGGTACACAGAGACAAGGAACATAACACAGCATGATAAATATAGATACAGAAGTGTATTGAGAGAGAGTACTGGGAAGGGAGTACTGAGAAGACTTCCCAGCGGAAGTGACACATCTGAGGTGGGTTTCAGAGCATGAATAGGAGTTTGTGGAGTGGAAAAGGAAAGGGCCTTCTTTCCAGGCAGAGAAAAGTGAGACTGTTCTCTGTTCAGGTGGCCAGAAGCAGCTCAGGTATAATCAAACAAGGGCCTGGGGGGGACTAGCCCAGAGAGCGGGAGTCAGGCCATGAAGGACCTGGCAGGAAGAAAATCGAGGAGACAGGACTCCCCAATGCGGAGTGAGTAAACCATGCTGAGCCCTACAGTGACTTGGTCAGCTGCTGGCCACCTTCTGACAGAAACCCAAATGCACATGTCTACAAGGAAAATGAGAAACACTGTGAACATGCATTTAAATAAAAAAATTTAAAAAAATAGAGATGGAGTCTTGCTTTGCTGCCCAGGCTGGTCTCAGACTCCTGGGCTCAAGCCATCCTCCTACCTTGGCCTCCCAAAGTGCTGAGATTACAGGCATGAGCCACTGAGCCTGGCCTGAAAAAATATACATATATTTTTTTGAGTTGGAGTCTCACTCTGTCACTCAGACTGGAGTGCAGTGGCACGCCCCCGGCCACCGCAGCCTCAACCTGCTGGGCTCCGGCGATCCTTCCGCCTCAGCCTTCCAAGTAGCTGGAACTACAGGCGAGCGCTACCACGTCCAGCTAATTTTTGATTTATTGTAGAGATGAGGTCTCGCTGCCCAGGCGGGTCTCGAACCCGCGGGCTCAGGCAATCCACTCACCTCAGCCTTCCAAAGGCGCGGGATCATAGGCTGAACCACCAAGCCCGGCTTGAAAAAATATTTTTAAAGATGTTTTTAAAATCTTTTGGAAGGAAAGACTTTTTTATCTAATAACAGCCTTTGTACAATTATAAAAATTATACACATTCATAACAAAAGATTAGAAAAATGACAAGTAGTACAAAATATGTATAAAAATCACCCAGATGGTGTCACTGAGCCTGTGCGATCCTTTCTGGTGTGCTCATGGGGAAGGGGCCTTGAGGGGGAAGCTGCAGAGGGGGTGTCGGGTGTGCCTGGGAGGGGGAGCGAGGTTGTGCTCTCCCTGGAGCTCTGATCTGAGCTCCTGTAGAGAGAAGGAGCCACTCCCCCTGATTTTGCAGGAATGCAGGAGGGTCCTGGCATTATTTTGCCACTCAGGGGTCTTGGGTTTTGGAGGCCCAGGGGAGCGCCCTGCACTGGAAAGTGCATTTCTTTCTTTCTTTCTTTCTTTTTTGAGTCAGAGTCTCATTCTGTCACCCAGGCTGGTGTGCAGTGGCACGCTCACGGCCACCGCAGCCCTAACATGCTGGGCTTAGGTAATTCTTACACCTCAACCTTCCAAGCAGCTAGAACTACAGGTGCCCACTACCACACCCAGCAAATTATTTGATTTATTGTAGAGATGAGGTCTCGCCAAGTTGCCCAGGCTGATCTTGAACCCATGGGCTCAGGCAATCCTCTCACCTCAGCCTCCCAAAGTACTGGGATTATAGGTGTGAGCCATCCTGCCCAGCCTGGGAGGTGCTTTTCTAATGGACTCCAGCTCCGGGGTATGGAAGAAGAGATGCCCTCCTGTGGCTGCTAGGAAGAGGCGGCGCCAGGAACACCGCAGTATCTGGATGTGGGTGGGCTGGCTTGGAAGCACATGTGACACACCCAGGTGCCTTCCTGGGAAATAGCTGGAGAGAATTGGGAGTGGTCTGAGGGGTTGGGTGTGGTGACTCATGCCTATAATCCCAGCACTTTGGGAGGCTGAGGCCAGAGGATGACTTGAAGCTGGAGTTTAAGACCAGTCTGGGCAACATAGCAAGACCCCTCTTCTACTGGAAAAAATAATAAAAAAAGAAGAGTGGACTGAGGGAGACCAGAATAGTCAGAACCATAGAGATAAGAAGCAGAAAAGGGGCTGCCAGGGGTGGGGGTGGAGGGGTGGGGGCTGTATCATAGGTTCATAGTCTCACGTTTGCAAGATGAGTTCTGGAGGTAGGTGGTGGTGATGGCTGCACTGTGGATTTAATACTACTAAACTGCATTTAACTCCCCAAAAAATTGAGAGAAAAAAGATCAGAAATGAAGCCAATCCCAGTGGTGTGAAGGAAACCCAATTAGAAATCATGGAGGAAAATATGGTTATTAAAATTTAAAAGAATTCAGCTGGTTGTGGTGGCTCATGTCTGTAATCCCAGCACTTTGGGAGGTGGAGGGGTGAGGATAGCCAGAGCCCAGGGATTCAAGACCAGCCTGGGCAACTTGGTGAGACTTCATCTCTACAATAAATCAAAAGATTAGCCAGGCATGTTGGCATGGGCCTGTCATCCAGCTACTTGAGAGGCTGAGGGGGAAGGATTGCCTGAACCCAGCAGGTTGAGGCTGTGGTGGCTGTGAGCGTACCTGGGTGGCAGAGTGAGATTCCGACTCAAAACAAACAAACAAATAAAAAAACTAAAGTAATTCAACAAACAGGATAAGTTTTAGACTAGACATAGTTGATGAGAGAATGTATGATCGCTAAGGTGGTATTGACTCATTTATCTGGAAAAATTTTGTAACTTTTTTCACATCTCACTATATGCTAAGGATTTCTTCCTATTATTAAACATGAATCTAAATGTAATCAACCAGCCT